TCGCCTAAGCCCAGGAGTTGGAGGTTGCTGTGAGCTGTGATGCCACAGCACTCTACCAAGGGTGATAAAGTGAGACTCTGTCTCTACAAAAAAAAAAAAAAAGAATAAGAAGAAGCATTACTATCATGACAGAGAAACAGCCTAATAGCTCAGATTTAGCAGACTTTTTTTTTGAGACACCCAAGCGGACTATTTTTTTGAGACAGGGTCTTCCTCTGTCAACAAGCCTGGAGTGTGTCATCATAGCTCAATGCAGCTTCAAACTCTTGGGCTCAAGCAACCCTCCTGCCTCAGCCTCCTGAGTTGCTAGGACTACAGGCATGAACTGTGCCTGGCTAATTTTTGTAGAGATGGGATCTTGTTATGTTGCCTAGGCTGGTCTTGAACTCCTGCCCTATCTTCCCAAACTGCTGGGATTGGAGGTGTGAGCCACCACACCTAGCCAGATTTTGTTGGCTTTTAAAAGTGATGCTAGGGCAGCGCCTGTGGCTCAGTGGGTTGAGCACCAGCCCCATACCGAGGGTGGCAGGTTCAAACCCGATCCCAGCCAAACTGCAACAAAAAATAGCCGGACTTTGTGGCAGGTGCCTATAGTCCCAGCTACTTGGGAGGCTGAGGCAAGAGAATTGCCTAAGTTCAAGAGCTGGAGGTTGCTGTGAGCTGTGATGCCACTGTACTCTACTGAGGGTGATAAAGTGAGACTGTCTCTAAAAAAATAAAAATAAAATAAAAGTGATGCCAATGAGCTGGTAGTTCACACCTATAATCCTAGCACTGTGGGAGGCTGATGTGATCTCCTTGCCTCAGCCTCCTGAGTAGCTGGGACTGCAGGCACCTGCTATAACACCTGATTATTTTTAGAGATGGGGGTCTTGCTCTTGCTCAGGCTGGTCTCAAACTCCTGAGCTCAAGGGATCTACCCACCTTGGCCTCCAGAGTGCTAGGATTACAGGTGTGAGCCACCACATGCCTGGTCCTATTTTTTGCATTCTAAATGGTCAAAGAAGCCAGTTCAGGGGTTCACTCAAATACAGCCCAGCTACTCAGGTGGCTGAGGCAGGGAGATTGTTTGCGGCCAGGAGTTCAAGGCTGCAGTGAGCTATAATGACACCACTGCACTCCAGCCTGGGCAATAGAATGAGACCCTGTCCCTAAAAAAATAAATAAATAAATGCAGTTTAAAAATAAAACACTTTTTATTTTTATTTATTTATTTATTTATTTTGAGACAGGAGCCTCAAGCTGTCCCCCTGGGTAGAGTGCTGTGGCATCATAGCTCACAGCAACCTCCAACTCCTGGGCTCAAGCAAGTCTCCTGCCTTAGCCTCCTGAGTAGCTGGGACCACAGGCACCCGCCACAACACCCAGCTATTTTTTGGTTGCAGCTGTCATTGTTATTTGGCGGTCTGGGCTGGATTCGAACCTGCCACCTTGGGTGTATGTGGCTGGTGCCTTAGCCACTTGAGCCACAGGTGCCGAGCCAATAAAACATTTTTTAAATGGTCAAAGGAGACAAAAAATGAAATAATATGATGTGACATGTGAAAATTACATGGGATTTGAATTTCAGTGTCCACAAATAAAGCATTATTGTAACATAGCTGTCCTCTGATTGTTTATGTGTTGTTGGCTGCTTTAGCACAACAGTGGCAGAGTTGAGTACATAAGATAGAGACTGTGTGGCTCAGGAAGATGAAGATATTTACTGTCTGGTCCTTTCACAGAAAATGTTTGCTGACTGTTGGTCTTGAGGTTGTCTATATCTATCAACTCTGTGTTGTGGAAAACTATACAATTGTTCATACCATGCATTTCATCCCGTCGCTGTTCAGTGGTATCATGTGAGTGGCTTGATATCAGCCACAACAGGAATATTTACACCACAGAAATAGGCAGATGCTACAAATCAGGCTCCTTCCCTTTGCCAATGGACTAATTGTAGAACATGTACCAACAACATAGTGCTAGAGCTCAGATTCTAGTGAAAACAGATCCATGCAATACTGTCAGCAGTAACAGGTATGATTACAGACAGAACAAGGCAAGAGCATGGAAGGATGGGCTTTGGGGGGAAGTTCGATGTCCCTAAGGAGGTGATCTTTGAGCAGAGACCTTCATGAATGGGGAAGCCCTGCTGAGGTGGGGAGGGAGGGGGCTCTAGTCAAATGGAAGGTAAAATTGGAGGAACAGTTGCCCTCTCAGAGAGGCAAGAGAGGGAGGTACAGACATCTCTCTCTCCATAAAGGATGCTAGTGGCCTGTCCAGAGCAGTGTCTGTGGAGATAGTGAGAAATGGCAGGATTTGGAATCTATTTTGAGTGTTGAGCAGAAAAGGAGTATGTGACTACAAAATGTTTGCTGCAACTCCCTTGGGAAGGTGGTCCTAGATACCCCTCCCCTGGAGCAAGGGCTGTACTAGTGACTTCTTTCTAATAAGTCAGATGGGGCAGAAATCATAGCAGCTGACTCTGGGACTAGATCATAAGAGACACTCACTGTGTGCCTTCCACCATATTCTCCCTTGGATCATGCCCCCTGAGGGAAGTTAGCTGCCATGTTTGAGGGTGCTCAAGCAGCCCTGTGGGATGGTCATGTAGAGAGTCCAGGGCCACATGGACAATGTAAGCATGAAAATAGGTCAAGGTCCAGCCTGTTCTCCCTATAACATTTTATTCTATTCTGTGACAGGCTGCCTAATGGCCACCAAAGATGCTATAAATTCTAGAACCTGTGTTACTTTACATGGCAAAAGGGACTTTACAGATGGAATTAAGTTAAGGACCTTCAGATGGGAGGTCATCCTGGATGACCCTGGTAGCCCAGTGTCACCACAGAGTCCTCATAGGAGGAGGCAGGAGGCTCAGAGGCAGAGACTGAAATTGCTGTGCACTGTCTCTGAAGGCAGAGGAAGGGGCCCTGAGCCAAGGGATGTGGGCCCCTAGATGCTGGAAAAGGAGGGAGGCACATTGTCCCCTGGAGTCCCCAGGAGGGACCAGCCCTCTGTTTTTAGACTTCTAACCTCCTAACCTGTAAGATAATAAATCTATCTTCCTTTAAGCTACTGACTTTGTGGTCATTTGTCACAGCATCTGCAGGAAACACACAATTACTCCTAGCATTGGACCCCAGAGACCTATGGAAAGACATGCATTCGGAGCTTGGTGGGCAATCATGATCAATCTACATTTAAGGGCACTGTTGTGACCCTCATTCAGGGGTGCCTGCAATCTCTCACCCCGTGTTTCTGCCCTGTTTTTGTGGCATCTAGTTTGTTGACGGAGTGTCTCCAAGTCATGGAACCCACCGTAGATGACTTGCAGCTTGTGCCCCCGGCAACCAAGGAAGTCCCTGCCCCGGATGTCATGTGCTGCCGAGCAGCCATCACTGGACTGGTGGTCATCAGCATAGTCATCCTCAACTTGGGAGTCTTTTCCGGTAAGTGGCCATGAGATTAGCTGGGTTCACAAAATCAGGTAACATGCACAAAGACACCGAAAGTGGGTCTGTGATGTCTGTGTGATCATCTTAGGATCGAAAGGCTGAGCATCCAAGCATTGCAGTGAAGGCTGACCTTAGGTCAGGTGTCTGGGACATAGGAGTTATACCCTCAGTGTGGATGTGGGGACAGGTAGGGCCATTTCTTCATATTTCAGTTTTACCAACTGAAGGGATTACCCAAAGAAGTTTTTTTTTTTTTCCAGAATGTATTTATTTAATCCAAGGAAGTTTTCATGGTGAGATGGATAGAAATAAAGATGGCAAAATGAACTTGCTTTAAATATCAAGAAACTGGAAAAGTACTAAACAGTATTTTTAAATGAGCAATCACTTATATTCCCACCACCCAAAATTCACAATTGCTCAAATTTCCTATTTGTTTCCAGTTCTTTTCATGCTGAATCATTCATAGCATTGCATATTAAAACCTGCAGAGTTTTGACACATCTGTATAATGTAAGGGCTCCAGTTATAAAAACAAGTATTCTGGCTCAACACCCGGCCACATACACTGAGGCTGGTGGGTTCAAGACTGGCCCGGGCCTGCTAAATAACAATGACAACTGCAACCAAAAATAACTGGGCATTGTGGTGGGCACCTGTGGTCCCAGCTACTCAGGAGGCTGAGGCAAGAGAATTGCATAAGCCCAAAAGTTTGAGGTTGCTGTGAGATGTGACACCATGGCACTCTACTGAGGGCAACATAGTGACATTCTGTCCCTCCCCCAAAACAAAAACTGAAAACACAAGTATTCTATTTCATTTGAATAGAATCATCTACAAGCCTGTGGCTCAAGCAGCTATGGCTCAAGCAGCTAAGGCGCCAGCCATGTACAGCTGAGCTGGCGGGTTCGAATCCAGCCTGAGCCCACCAAACAACAATGATGGCTGCAACCAAAAAATAGCCAGGCGTTGTGGTGGGTGCCTGTAATCCCAGCTACTTGGGAGGCGGAGGCAGGAGACTCGCTTGAGCCCAGGAGTTGGAGGTTGCTGTGAGCTGTGATGCCATGGTACTCTACCCAAGGGGACAGCTTGAGGCTCTGTCTCAAAAAAAAAAAAAAAAATGGGAGGGCCTACTGGCTCAGAACCTATAGTACAGTGGTTATGGCACCAGCCACATACACCAAGGCTGGTGGGTTTGAACCCGGCCTGGGCCAGCTAAACAACAATGACAACTGCAACAAAAGTAGCTGGGCGTGACTCGGCACCTGTAGCTCAGTGGCTAGGGTGTCAGTCACATACACCAAGGTTGGCAGGTCTGAACCCGGCCCGGGCCAGCTCAACAATGACAACTACAACAAAAAACAGCCAGGCATTGTGGCAAGCACCTGTAGTCCCAGCTACTTGGGAGACTGAGGCAAGAGAATCACTTGAGACCAAGAGTTTGAGGTTGCTATGAGCTATGACGCCATGGCACTCTACCGAGGGCAACAAAATGAGACTCTGTCCCCCCAAAATAAAATAAAATAAAATAAAAATAAAAAGTATATAACCAGTCATTATAGGTAAGCATAACCTACATTTCATTCTTTTCGGGTAAGTGGCCATGAGATTAGCTGGGTTCACAAAATCAGGTAACATGCACAAAGACACCGAAAGTGGGTCTGTGATGTCTGTGTGATCATCTTAGGATCGAAAGGCTGAGCATCCAAGCATTGCAGTGAAGGCTGACTGCCTTATCCTCCTGCCTTATCCTCCCGAGTAGATGAGACTATAAATACCACCATGCCTGGCTAATTTTTCTATTTTTTGTAGCAATGGGGTTTTGCTATATTGCCCGGGCTGGTCTCAAACTCCTCACCCCAAGTAGTCCTCCCACCTCTGCTTCCCAAAGTGCTATGACTATATAGGTATGAACATAAGTGGTTTTAAAATACATATCCATGTTTACATACATGTACACATATACACTTCCATAAAAAATATTTAGTACTGTTTTGCACAGCCTCATTATTACGTGAATGGTAGAGAATACCTTCTTTGTGGAAAATTTACCTTTTTTCATTCCACCATTTGTCTTAGCATACTCTGAATGTTAATATATAGAACATAGAAATTCCTCTTGAGAGACATAGCAATTTCCAATTTTAGCCATCATGATTAGTGGTGGCAAGTGGGGTTTCTCTAGAATATTCCTCCAGTGTCAGCCGGCAATGGTGTTGTCCAGGACAGCAGCCTCTGGCCTGTGTAGCCATTTAGATTGAAATCATTACTAAAACTAAATTGCATCTAAAATTCAATTTCTCAGCCTCAGCAGCCACCTTTCAGCTGCCCAGCACCACATGCAGCTTGCTTGCGAGGACTGCATTAGATTATCATTGCAGAACTTTTCTCTTGGACAGTGGAAATCCCATCTCGCTCACTCTGCAATGACAGGCTGCCTGTGGTCTTATTTGGGGATCTTAAAGTCACTTTTTTTCTATGAAATTATGATAGTAAATAACACTGGGGTGGGGGGGAATGCTCTTATGCAGCTAAACAGTAAGCTGGAAATCTTATGTGGGTCCCTTTTTTTAAAAAAAATTTCTGTGAACTTCTGGAACATCCCATAGCCTGACACATTTGACTGGTGCCCTCTAGTGGTTACAGATGCCAAGTACAAGACGATTTGGGCTCCGTGTGTGCTTGTCAGACTCATCCTTGCACTAGTGAGAGGCAGGAACAGGGCAGAGTTTCACACCTCCATTCTAGAAACACAGATACATTTTGAGAACAACAGACACATATAATCTCCAGAAGGATCCCCTGAAATCACGGGAAGTCTTTCTTAAGCATCACTTAAAATTAAATTAAATTAAAGCACTTAAAATTAAAAACTTAATGAAAGTGAATTTTCAGCTCCTTCTTAGCTCAAAACTTTAGGGAGACGGTGTCGAGAGAGGATAGGGGAAGGACCTCTCTGGACTATTTCCACAACTCCTTGTGAGTCTATAGTTATTTCAAAATAAAAATGTAGGCTCGGCGCCTGTGGCTCAAGCGGCTAAGGCACCAGCCACATACACCTAAGGTGGTGGGTTTGAATCCAGCCCGTATCCGCCAAACAACAATAATGGCTGCAACCAAAAAATGGCCAGGTGTTGTGGCGGGCGCCTGTGGTCCCAGCTACTTGGGAGGCTGAGGCAGGAGACTCTCTTGAGCCCAGGAGTTGGAGGTTGCTGTGAGCAGTGAAGCCGTGGCACTCTACCCAGGGTGACAGCTTGAGGCTCTGTCTCAAAAAGAAAAAAAAAAAATTAAAAAAAAATAAAAATGTAAACAATTAGTTGGGATACAGAGCCTGGGATGTTTATTCTACACACCAGCGTGCTTGCTTTTCTTTATTTTTAGTTTCTTGAAGAAAACAAACTGTTCTTAGAATTGATTTAGAATATTTATTCTGACTTAGTGCCTGTAGTGCCCGTAGCTCAGTGGTTAGGGCGCTGGCTACATACACCCCAGGCTGGCGGGTTCGAACCCGGCCTGAGCCTGAGCTGTGATGCCATAGCACTCTACAGAGGGTGATATAGTGAGACTCTGCCTCAAAAAAAAAAAAAAGAGAATATTTATTCTCTCTGTTGAATAGATGAACATCTTGTCTAGAATATCTATCCACTTAGGAGAAATAGAATTAGGGCGCAGCTTTCACGGTTTATGTGGTTGCCATTTTCATTTTTTAAATTTTATAATTACGAACTTCTTTTTGTTACTGTGCACTTCTGATAGTCATACTCTTGCTTTCGTGGTTTGTGTGGTTTCTGTCATAGGCTTTATTTAAAAATGTCTTATGATTATTATTCTTGGCCACCGTGTACTCTGGGTACAATGTCCTGTATCCTTTTGGACAGTATCTGCACAGGATTATGGCCTGAGGATCCTGATGCCCCTTTGTTGTGCTCACAGACCTGCGTAAATGGGTTCCTTTTCCTGGGGAGGAGGGAGGACTGTTGTTCCAAGGCCTATTGAGCACTTTTCTGCCATTATGTCCTGAGGTCATCAGGCCTGGGCTGGACACTTCAGGGGAGATAAGCATGAGCCAGACAATTCCTGTTCTTCAGGAAAACCTGGGGGCAACTGGGGCGGCTATGCTTGGGGGCCTTTGGTTAGGTGGCTGTAGAAGTTGTCACCAGACCAGATGCTCTGCACTGTGGATTGGTGTTCAGGACAACCACAGGGCACCTGCCACCCTCTGTGTGTTAGGAGTGACCTTTGTAGGTAGTGCAGGGGCAGAGCAGGCAAAGTCTGGTGGTGGGCTTATTTGAACTGGGCTCTCTTATGGGCCCTGGTCTTGTCCCCAGCCTTCCTCTCCATGCAGAGTGTCCACATGGACCACACGGCCAGGCTGCAGGGCATCCGCTGGGCCAGGAGCTTGCAGGAGGAGGCCTCGGATTACTACTGCACACTGACGCCTGCACTGGAAGCACTGGTGAGGGTGGCTTGCCTCCAGGGCCTGGGAGGCAAGGTGGTGGCCAGGCCCCTGGTGTGCATGGGACGAGGCAGGGTGGTGGGGCCAAGCATGGGGGCAGAGCTGCACCCATTGGGAGCCAACTCCTGCAGGGCATGTAGGCCACTGTGTATCTTATTCTAGTGGAGGAATCAGGACTGACTTGAGCTGGTAGGAGTATAAAATGGTGCAGTTCTGTGACAACAGGCTGGTGGTTCTTCAGAAAGCTAAACATATGATCCACATTCCACTCCTAGGGATCCGTTCAAGAGAAATGAACACATCTGTCCACGCAGTAACTTCTGCATAAATGTTCCCATAGTTGATTCATATGCAGTACCAGTCAACAGGTGGAAACCCAAATATTCATCAGTGAGCAAATGGATGAGCACATAAGGGCCCATCCACACATGGGAATGTCACTCAGCCAGGAAAAGGAATGAGGCTCTGACACAGGCTACAGCATGGATGGACCTTGAGGATATCATGCTCAGTAAGGGAAGCCAGACACAGAGGATGTGAGATTCCATTTATATGAAATGTCCAGAATAGGCAGATCTATAGGGATAGGATGCAGATTTGTGGGTGCCAGGGACTGGGGAGGGGATGGGGTGTGACTTCTGATGAGGATGGAGCTTCTTTTGGGGATGATGGAATGTTTTCACATTGATTGTAGTGATACCAAGCTATGAATCTACTAAAATCCATTGAATTGTATACTTTTATAAGGTAAGTAGGTAAATTACATCTCAATGAAAAAATGTTTTCCATTTTATTCTAAGAGAAATGGAAGGGTGACCACATTAGAATCCATGTTTTGAGAAATGTACTCTGCCTGCCTCCTGGGGAATGTCTGATAAGACCTTAGAGAAACAAGGGACAAATTTTGAGTCAGCAGCACCTAGAACAGGGGTCAGCAAAGTTCTCTTATAAAGAGAGAGCCGGCTCGGCGCCTGTGGCTCAAGCAGCTAAGGCGCCAGCCACATACACCTAAGGTGGTAGGTTCAAATCCCCAGCCTGGGCCCGCCAAACAATGGCTTGGAGGTTGCTGTGAGCTGTGACGCCACAGC